TGCATATGATGTGTATTTTGTTGTTGTTTGGGTTGTTAGTGTTAATTTTGTTGTTGTTGTCATTAATATTATTACTAATTATTATTCTTAATTTCAAACTATAATTTTTCAGCAAACTTTCTTCGTAAGTTAAGGATGGGGATCTGTTTGCATTTGAAACCAGTCACGCAGTAGGAGTACCTGGTAGCCTACCATTACACTATCTCGCTGCTAAAACCATTTTACCATCATTATTTATTATTATTATTATTTAATTATTATTAATATTATTATTATTATTATTAATCGTTATGACCGTGTATAATTTATAGTTTATTTATTTATTAATTTATATGATTTTTATTGCTCCTCTTATGTCCATTTTATTGTGTGTAACGGTTAATGCTTGTTAGTGTTTTTATTATTATTGTTGTTATTATTATTGTGTAATTTTTTTTTATTACTATGTTTCCCATTAATAATTAAACATTATTGTTGTTATTGTTGTTATTTAGGTCGTTATATCATCATTATTCTTATCAACAGTTGGACTTATAAATTTACATGAAAAGAACTTGCGTATCTAAAACCAAGAAAACCAACACACACACAGACACAGACACACATACACATACACAAACACACACATACATACACACACATACAAACATCCACATAAAATTATTACTGTTAATGTACGTAAATGCATGTTTATGCCATTTATATACATCTACATTACATTTTAGTGCCATATCGTCAAATGACGTTTGTGTGTGTGTGTGTGTGTGTGTATTAATGTTTGTGTGTGTGTGAATGTGTGTGAGTATTAATATTTAGGTGTGTACGTGTGAATATGTAGCACGTAGTTTTGAAGACTACAAATCCGGTACTCAATCCACAAGCCAACAACAATTTTTATTTGTTTTGTTTTTTTTGGTAATCGGCGGACTATCGTTTAAATCACTTGAATTTTTACACACGTACACAGTTCATTTTTTGTGGTTATCTACGTTAATTTGAGTTGATTTATGTTAACTTTGTTATATGTTCACAGACTGAATCGTATTACGAACTACCAGCACCTCCTTATATGGTTATATTGTTATAATAGATGAACAAAAGCAAGACACAAAACAGAATGTATCCTGTGCGTTTCGAGGCATCTTTTTTCATAGTTAAGTTTAATAGGTAAACACGCACACGCACACACATACACATAAACACGCACACACATACACATAAACACACACACACACATAGTAAGCAAACATTTTGTGAAAAATTATGTATACACGTAGTTATATTTTCCCATATAACGATATTTTATCGTGCTGAATGCGAAGCAAAGACTAATAAATATCAATAACAAAGACCATAAAATTTTTGTTTATAATTTATCTAGCGCTCGACGTTAAACAATTTATTTGAATGATGCTTTCAGAACGTGTTAGGAATGTGTTTAGCATTATAGTTATTAATGCGATTGTTATTAACGTTACATATTTGTTGCAAGACTGAGTGCAGTTGAATTATAACTGATGTTGTTATTATTATTATTAATGATGTTATTATTGTTGTTGATGTTATTAAAGTTATTATTAATGTTGTTATTGTTAGTTGTGTTGTTGTTTTTGATCTTTTACATTATTGTAGACGTTATGTTTTTGTGGTAGTGGTATTAATATTTTTTGGCAAAAAGACATTTGAATATTACTCTCTTTCTCTCTCTCTCTCTCTCTCTCTCCTAGTTTTAGCAGTATTTTTACTGATGTTTGTCAATAAAATTTAAATAACGAAAAGAAATCATGCTTATCATCCGTACCTACATCAAAACAGTGGTCTGAAACAGCAGCCACAGTACAGCAAAAATTTTGTAACAATTTCAACATTATTACAAACATGAACCCAATAAACAACAACACTAATAACAATGACAAAACACACACAACAACAGCATTAACAACAACAACAACAACAGCAACATCAACAACACTTAAACCCTTTTAGGACTCGAGCTTAAACTTAACTCTACAAGAAATTACCCTGGCTAGACGGACGTGATAGTCTAAAGTTTACCTCGTTTTGTCATCATGTCATCCCCTTTATTGCCGTCCTATCATCATTTTTATCAATTTCACCACGTCCCCATCATCATTGTCATTAGCATCATGTTTGTAATTTTCATTATATTATCATCATCTTTTTCCTCATATCACCATCGTCATTTGCTTCATAGCATCTTCATCATTTTCATTATATTATCATCACTAATGCCTAATCATTACCTTTGTAATTTTACATTAAATTATCATCATCATCGTAATCATATCATCACTATCATTGATAATAAGATAATAATTGTTGTAAATATGATATCGTATCATCTTCATTATTTATTTATTATCATCACATTCTCACATTTATATTCTGACAAATATAGATATATCATCTTCAACAAAAGAGATCAGTGTATCATTGTTGGTTACTCTTTTCATTCGCCTATATCATCATTGGCTTTATCATCGTCATCATCTTAACGTTAATAAATTAGTATTGTCTTTGTAGTTGCAGCAGTTCTCGTAAACGTTATCAGGTCATCAGCGTGCAATTCATCATACTACATCATGTCATCATCGTCTATCTTGTTCTTCTTTTTAGTTACATTATCATCATATTCTTCGTCATCATCATCTTGTCATTCTCTAATAATACACGTTATCATCGTCATTGCTATTATTACCGATACTATTATCATTGCCAGTTATAATCATAAATGTTGTCGTCGTCTTTATCATCATAATCATCATCATCATCATCGTCGTAGTCAACATCATCATCATCAATGTTGTAGTTATAGTGTTAATATTTTTTTTAGAAAATGATCTGAATGAATGGACTTTATCTGAATAGACTAGAAAATAAAATGAATAGACTATCATCACTCACTATCATCATCATCATCATCAACAACGTCGTCGTCGTCGTCATCATCCCATTCCGCTTATCATCGTATTACATCGACAAACAGTGCATTGAGGAAACAATTTAAATTAATTATACGGAAACAAAAGCCTCCGGATATGCAAACACACGTACACATACATACACGCGCGCGCGCACACACACACACGCACAATACACGTACACACACACGCATACACATATATACAAATTAAACACACATACATGAATATTCTCACATCTACATTTATGCACACACATGTGTACACACACATACATTTACATTTACTTTACATATACACATTCGCACGTGCGTGCACATACAAATTTGTTTACACGTACAGGTATATCCAATCAGACTGTATTGAAAAAAACCCATGCATATTCACAAAAATACAAAAATATGCATGACTAAACACATACACAAACAAGTAAACACACAAACAAAACATTCATAAAAAAGTACCACCAAGCATAAAAAATATAGGAGAAAATATGGCACGCAGAAGTAAGAGTTGAAAGCCATAGAAACACAATCGGTGAAGAAAGTCGAGAGTCCTGCTGCTTGCCCCTCCAGTGTCGTGTGTGCTTGTGTGTGTGTGTGTGTGTAAATGTGTGTGAGTGTGTGTGTATGTGTGTTTGTAAGTGTGTGTGAGTGTGTGAGTGTGTGTGTGTGTGATTGTGGTTTGTGTTTAGGTAAACATTGGCAGATCTTATTTCATATACGTGCAAAATACAACAAAAACTTTCGGTAGCTGACGCGAAACACACGCGCACAAAACTCGCACAACACACGCATAAACAAATATAAACAAAATCATTTGAAACTCAAACATAAAAAAATCTACATAAAGGTAACAGAAGCAAACTTCATCGTAGGAGGACAAAAACAATCCAACAAACAAAAACATAAACACAAAACAATCGTTCACAAAATCTAGCTAAACAAAACTATGCTGAAGTAAAAATATTTTCAAAATTTTTTTTTCTAACGAGTAAACACGGGAGAGGTAAACGTGGACTGTAACATAAACATTTACCTTAGAAAGAAAAGTAAAAACAGAAGCTAACAAAGGCTACTGGAAAATAAACATGCATTCTTTTTCCACTA